CTTTGAGTGCCTTTAAGTGACTTTGAGTGCCTTTGAGTGCTGGCTGATGTCCATGAGTGCTTTGAGTACCCGCGAGTGCCAGGGACTTAAAGGCACTCGCTGGCACTCAAAAGCACTCAAAAGCACTAGGGGACGTTTAGGCCGATGGCTCAATAAATAAATAAAAACTCCCGTCTTCAAAAAGACAGACTATAGTGATGTAGATGCGTTGAAAGATTCGAATAAAATGCTCTACCGATTGAGCTATCCAGGTCGTAAACCTTAATATAACCTATGCCCAGCACTTTTTGTAGTGTCAATGGCATACACTCATGGCGGGCACTCAAAGGCAATCAAAATCACTCAAAAGCACTCGCTGGTACATAAAGGCACTCGATGGCACTCAAAAGCACTCAAAGGCACTAGGGGACACTCAAAGGCACTAGGGGACACTCAAAGGCACTCAAGGGCACTCAATGGCACTCAAAAAAACTCGCTGGCACTCAAAGGCACTCATAGGCACTTATGCTAAAATGCAAACTTAACTATTTTGTGAAATAATCAATCTGTAATTGCGTTTCCAATAATATCTAATTAAAATTTTTAATGATAAATATTAGTCTTCTAATGGCTCCATACAAACCATACATATTTATTTCAATAAAAAATATTTAAACAAATATTCATATAAAAATATGCCCTATAAATTTATCATAATTGTCAGTTTTAATTGTTAATTGTTGAAACACTGTAAATATTTAAAATTGATTAATTGTTAATTGTAGATATACGCGATTAACAATTGGTTAATCGCTAATTAGGACAACAGAAATTAGCAATTAATTAATTGTTAATTGCTGTTGTCACGGTTGACAATTAATTAATTGTTAATTGCCGTTGTCGCGATTAACAATTAATTAATTGTCAATCTTTAATTGCCTGAACAATAAAATTTGCTCTAGTGTATTGTTTCTTCTTGTTTAAGTGTGCACCAACTTATTGTGTTTTTTTCCTGTTTGACCCAATGCGCAATGGTTGACTGGTAGAGAAAGCCGCCATTTATACTTCAGTGTACAATAAAGTTTAAATAAATAACGCAATAACGCAACACCCAGGGAAACCCTGAGTCGCGGGTGCCATGGACACATATAGACAACCACAAATTATACGTAAACTCACGAGAGAAATAAATGTAGGCCATACACATATTTCTCACGGCGTAGGAATCGAACCCAGGACCTCTGCGCGGCAGTCCAGCATGGTAACCGTTCGGCCACGGAGGCCGTTATGTTTCATTTTTAAAAAGTTTAAATAAGCACATTTTAAAGGTGGAGGTGATAAATAATGAGCACGGCAACCGCATCACGCCGTCGTGCGTGGCCTTCGTGGACTCGGAGAAACTCGTCGGTGAAGCCGCCAAAGAGCAGGGCGTAATCAACCCAGAAAACACTATTTTTGGTATGTTAATTTTATTAATCTGGCAGCCGCACGCTACGACGTGATGTTTATTCCTTTCCAATAACCGCTCACGCGATACATGCAGCCGATATACGCATACCACACCTAGAGGTGTCGGTGATGATTCTATACCGATTTATCGGATATCGAAGTTATAACAAGTAAAAGAACTGATATTAATTGCTATTTCGGTAACTACACTAGCAAACCATAAAGTTTTTAATGCCTGGTCTGTCATTTAAAAAAAATAAACAACTTCAAAAATACGTCACGACAATCGTGTGTGTTATTGTTTGGGCTGGTGATTTCGGTGTTTATTCATTGAAAACATACCGTAAGTAGCGTTTTTTAAGTTTACCTTGAATATAAATGTTTATAAACTATACTTTAAGGAGTAATTTCTTGGTAAACGTTAGAACCACTCAAACGGAATATTATCATATTTATCCAAGTACACCAAAAATTTCATTACTGCTTTTTAAGTGCAGGATTTGCGGTGTATTACTGCATTTTATATGAGATGTTTTTGTTGGTAGTGCGGAGGGTATTTATTTAGCAATCCAGAATAATAATTTTTATTTATAAAAACTTGTATTTAAACTGAATGCTTTTCTAATTTGCGAATCCAAATAGCCGCCATTATGCGGTAGGAGGAGTGCATCGCGTGAGCGGTTAAATAAGTAGTGTTGTTATTTTATCATTTTACATGAACAAAACTTGATGAGGATGGCGAAAGTTGCCCCGTTAACGACGAAGAGCTGTTCATGGACTTAGCTAGAATAATTTTGCGTCTTAGTTTATGCCTAGTTACGAATATATTTTTGTGTATTTTTAGAAATAAAGGATAAAATAAAACACAATGTGACAAAAATATTTAGACAATATATACCTAAATGAGAAATAATGAAAATTGCACAGGAACGTCTTGACAAGAGACCTCTTGCCAAAATCAAAAGAAATTGCTCCTAAATTAAAGTTGGGCGCTATTTATAAAAATAAATCTTCATGCGTGAACAGCCATCCTTCGAGGTAGATGATTTTCTTCAAAATGAAATGGGACCACTTTGGAAGTACCCCCTTTCCAACAAAAAAAGAATTATGGAAATCGGTTCACAAATACCGGAGTTATCGCGTAACATACATACAAAAAAAAAACATACAGTCGAATTGAGAACCTCCTCCTTTTTTGAAGTCGGTTAAAAATACATGTCCCTTCCTTGACCAACTTCTGCTGTCCCGGTTTATTTCGTCCCTTACAATTTAAAGATCCTTATACGAAAGTGAGTCGATCAGCATTAAAAAAAATTGATCAGTTTTATTCATTTTTATAGACAACTCACATTTGAGCAAATATTTGACTATGCCGTTATATTTTTATTCAACTAAAAGATCATTTTAAACTCATAGGAAATTAAACAATTTTTCTGGATTTAAATCGCGTATATTTGTTTTTTCAAACAAACCAACGTTTTGGGCCCTTCGGTTGACTGATCATGTGACCTGTAAAGAGCTCGGAACGTCGGTTTGTTTGTAAAAAAAAAAACAAATATACGCGATTTAAATCCGGAAAAATAGTTTCATTTCCTATGTGTAACAATCGTGAAAACCTAAGAAGTCTGTATATAAACTCATTGTTACCTTTTAAAGTAGGTCAACTAAATCCTCTCTACGAAAGTCATATTAAATGTATGGCAGCTTTTATTGATGTCGATTTACTTATTAGGTAACGTACTTTCCATACCAGTTTAAAGTTTTTTGATATCTCTTACGAGTATATTAGTTATGGAATAATCGTCTGGGCACACTTAAGAGGGAGCATGCCAAAAAAGTTTTGTCGTTGTCTCCGCCCAAATTTGTGAAACAAGTATATGCCTGAAGTTCGCGTGACATGCGACAGGAGATGTTGAATTTTGCGCATTAAAAGTACCAAATTCGTTTTAACGGAATAACTCTAAAACTAAAGGGATTAAAAAAAAATCCGTAGTAACAGTTGTCGATCATGCATAAATATAATTAATTATCTAATTTTTGTCCTAATAACCTGTAGCATTTCGAGGATAAATCGAAAAAAAATGTGAAAATTAGAGGTCATTTCGTGATTTTTGTCTATCGAGGAAACTTTATTGTTTTATGTTTCTGATTAATATCTATGCTTGAATATATCGTGTAGTTACTCATACAATATTTTATTTTAAACTTTAAAGTGGATATACCCCTCTAAAATCAAATCGAAGATTAGGAATTTTTCCTCTGCTCCCTCTTAACGATTGCACCCGCCATCTAGTGGCAGGGTGACGTACTATTATTGTTTGCAAGCTTCCGATAGGTTTTATTACGAGGACAAGCATTGTAGTGTATGCCATTATGACACTACATAAAGTGCTGGACATAGGTCTTTTAAGGCTTACGACCTGGATAGCTCAATCGGTAGAGCATTTTATTCGAATCTTTCAACGCATCTAAATCACTATAGTCTGTCTTCTTGAAGACGGGAGTTTTTTTATTTATTTATTGAGCCATCGGCCTAAACGTGAGATGGAGTAGACACAGATAACTATAGACAAGTTGTTGAGAATTCAGCCAAAACTGAACTCCTCTGCTTTAATCTTCCTTCGATATCAATAAAACTTCCTTAATTTGAAGTGGACTGTATATTCATTAAATGTCGATCTGACTTACAAAACAAGACAACTAAATGTAACAAGTGAGTGATTGATAGTGATTCCAAAACTGATTACAAAGTGATTGATTCGAATGACAATTATCGCTTATATTTATACCAGTACGGTGTCTCCCACATCGTACCGGTCCTATCAATGGGTCGCTACGCCGCTCGGCCAATCAGAGCTCTTGAATTAATCATTCTCCTCTGAACTCTTGCTCTGACCGGCCAGGCGCGTACGGCCGTCCGTAACACAAGTAGAAGGAGTAAAATGACATTTGTAGGGTTGCCACTTTTCATAAAATTTTAAATAGTTATGTAATTATTGTCGACAGTTTTGTCGATAAATTGTGAATGAAGGTAGAATTTTGCCAGAAATATCTGAATTGTGAATGTTACGACGTTCTGATGATTACTGATTGTGTTATTGCATTCTTCATTCTTATTGTGATTAGGAGGTGATGTGAAATTAATTTTTATTCATTATACATTTTAACAAGAATAGACAGATTTGATTATACTTTAAAACATGTCTCCTCTTTACATTTTTAACCGACTACGAAAAAGGAGCAGGTTTTCAATTCGACTGTATGCTTAGTTTCATTTCCTGTGGTTTTTTTGTATGTATGTTACGCGATAACTCCGGTATTTGTGAACCGATTTTCATGATTCTTTTTTTTGTTAGAAAGAGGGTACCTCCATAGAAGAAAATCATCCACCTCTAAGGGTGGCTGTTCACGCATGAAGATTCACTTTTATAAATAGCGCCTAAATTTTACCACAAGAACCAATTATTTGAATGGTTGATTTTGCTATTCTCCAATTCAAGGCGTTTTTCTTTCTCGATATACTTTGGGTAGTGAGAACCGATTTTTATTATCTCCTGTGTCAAGTCTCGTATAGTGGCAAACTAGGGGATGAATCCGGGTTTGCGCACTTTCCGGTAACCGATTTCAATAAAAGTTTGTAATTATATGTAATTCCACGTACTTTTGAGGTCGGTTTTATTTAGTACTCTGTACTGAGATTATTTAATAGACATTGTTTTAAATGCAGTGCATGAACTTATAAAAATTACTCACCTTTTCATTATTGACCTATGCCAAGTAGTTGGACAAATAATGCGTAAAAGATTATTCAAATGAAACAAGTTCGGCTATTTATTGTATAAACGTGATCAACATTCAGTCGATAGTCGATAGAATATATTATATTATAGAGTGGAATCACTAACTGTTTGCAAGCGGGCAACACTTTTGTGCACACAATATGTTCACAATAATGTCATTCAGTTGCAGGAGCCCTTCAATAATAACGCCGATAACTCGTTAACAATATGATTTAATGAAGAACTTAATGACTATTGCAAATGATGTTTGAGAATTTGAATATAAAAAATATCCTTTAAAATCGTCTGATGCTCGCACTTGTCTCTTTTTGAATTCGTCCGTTTTTTGACCTTTTGAATGAAATTTTTTGAATGAACTTTGTGAGTTTATGCACACCCGTGTCTCTCGGTGCCCACGCGGTGATCACTTCGTTTCATCGGCGCGACCAATCTTCAAAAACTAAGAATACACGAACCTACAGACAAATTGTTCTTAGTTCATATAAAATAAAGGAAAAATACAGACTTTTAAATCACAGATACGGTTTTTGTATAATTTTAATATTTGTCACGGCTCTGGATACTTGCATGTGGGCCGGTCATTCGGTTACATTGACTTCGATATTTCTTCCGAAAACTTTTTTAAATAATCTCGTTTCACAAAGGAATTTGATTTGTTTTTAGAAATCTTTAAGTAACTCAGTGCCTCCGTCCTTATTGTGACTACATATTATGTGACGGGACGAACAAGTCGTGCGCCTGATAGTAAGCGAGACGCCTGTCTATGACAGTTGCAGTGCCACTCAGAGATTTAAATCGCAATGATCTGAGGGGCACTGCCACTGCGCCCATCGCCCTGAGACATAAATTAACAAGTCCCTTGTGCCTGTAATTTCACCCTTACCCTTCAAAACCGAAACACAGTAATGCTGACATTACTGCTTGGCGGCAGAAATAGGTAAGGTGGCAGTACTACCCTGGATGAGCTCTTTCACAAGGTGCTCTACTGCTACTAAAAAAATATCTTCACCTTTGATCTCCATCTCACCTGACAGAAAGTGGCGATGAGGTCGACGATGGAGCATGCACACCTAAATAATACCTATTCACTCTCGCCTTGAAAAGGTCTAAGTTATAGCGTATAGGGAATAAGTTAGCTGGCAGGGAATTCCACTCCACGATCGTTCGCCATGGAAATGTCGAAGCGTAACTCTTTGTGAGAATCCTTGGAATATCCACAACATAGGGGTGGAACCAGACTATGTCTGGTCCTCCGGTAATGAAAAGGGGAATTAAATAATTAATACTTAACAGAATAAACGTAAGCATTCCACTTTCGTCCCAATAATATGTAGTTCGTATTATATTTATGAATTTCGTTTGGTTATCTCCTCGATGCTTGCATATATTTACTTATTTTATTTTATTAATACTAGGTTCCCAAATTACGATTGACTATCAGAAACATTATCGTAAAAGTTTACTCGACATGGTCCTTAATTCGAAATGTTCGGCCATTGCAGGTGTGAAGCGACTGATCGGACGACGCTTTAACGACCCCGTGGTACATGCAGACATGGAGCTGTGGCCTTTCACAATCGTCAACGAGGGCGACAGGCCTAAAATCCGGGCCCAATTCAAGGGAGAATACAAGACCTTCTTTCCTGAAGAAATCAGCTCTATGATACTGTGCGCACTCAAGAGATCAGCCGAAGCGTACCTACGCCAGCCAGTTCCCAACGCCGTGGTGACTGTGCCAGCATACTTCAACGACTCCCAGCGTCAGGCCACCAAGGACGCTGGCACCATCGCAGGCCTCAAAGTACTGCGCATCATTAACGAACCGACGGCCGGCGCGCTGGCATACAGCCTCGACAAAAGTGAAGAGGAGCAAACCGTGCTTATTTTCGATTTGGGAGGTGGAACTTTTGACGTCTCCATCTTGACCATCGAAGAGGGCATCTTCGAAGTTCGTGCCACGGCTGGGGACACGCACCTTGGCGGTGAAGACTTCGACGCGCGGCTGGTGGAGTACTGTGCCAGCGAGTTCGCCAGGAAGCACGGACTGGATTTGCACAGTGACAAAAAAGCCCTTAGGAGGCTGAGGACGGCGTGTGAGCGCGCAAAATGTACGCTTTCATCATTGACAAAGACTAGCGTAGTATTAGACGCGCTGCTCGGCAGCCATGACCTTAACATAGTAATCACTCGCTCACGGTTTGAGGAGTTGAACCAGGACCTGTTTACCGAGATCAAGAACATCCTGGGAAGAGTGTTGTGCGACGCGGCGATGCGTAAAGAAGATATTGCAGAAGTGGTGCTGATTGGTGGGTCGACGCGAATTCCATACGTTCAGCAGATGGTGCGGGAGTTCTTCGATAAAGAACCAAATAAGACAGTAAACCCGGATGAAGCCGTCGCTCACGGCGCGGCCATCCAAGCCGCTATCCTGGAAGGTGATCCTTCTACGACCATCTCTAATCTAGTTCTAGTCGACGTGACCCCTCTTTCCCTCGGCATAGAAGTGGTTGGAGGAATTATGAGTGTAGTTGTCGCCCGAAACTCGACCATTCCCACTAAAAACACCAAAAGATATAACACTGTTGTTGACAACCAAACTAGTATCTCGATCAATGTATTTGAAGGCGAAAGACCGATGGTAGCTGATAATTGTCTACTCGGGAAGTTTACTATGTCTGGAGTGCCACCATTGCCGGCAAACCAGGCTAAGGTGGACGTAACATTTGCGATCGATGCCAATGGGATCCTTCACGTTACGGCTGAGCAAACCATCACAAAGGATAAAAACCAGATAACTATCACTAGCAGCAAGGGGCGGTTGTCGCAGGAAGAGATCTTGCGATTGACACAGGAGGCGGAAATCATGAAGCACGAAGATAATGCCAAACGAGAGGCGGCCGAGGCCACTGACGAGCTGAAACGCCTCTGCCGGCTCGGACAGCGCGAGGGGAACAGTGCCATCAAGTATAAAAGCCAGAAGCTGCTGACGTGGCTGGCTGGTCCTGGCGCCAAAGCGACGAAACGCGAAATTGTCATGAAACGGCAAGAGTTGGATCTGCTCTTCGATATAAAAAAATCTGAGAATTTAAATCAAGGAAGACGTATTTCCCTTGACATTAGCGAGTTTACCTTAGAGCGGTTTCACAATGTGAGTATTAACAGCGTATGTGCAGTGATTTAGTCGGAATGCAATAAAGGGTTTTACTTGTATTGTGGTAGTTTTTTATTATTATAAATAAAAAAATATTTTTCCCGTACATTGGTTTTTTTTTAATGGCGCCTGGCGGTAAGCGTCACGCCTATTCATAACAGTTGTAGTGCCACTCAAAGGGCTAGTGCCCTCTGCGCCCGTCAAGCATGCCAAAAAAGTGTTGACGTTGGCTCCGCCCAAATTTGTGATACAAATATATGCCTGAAGTTCGCGTGACATGCGACAGGAGATGTTGAATTTTGCGCATTAAAAGTACCAAATTCGTTTTAGCGGAATAACTTTAAAACTGAAGGGATTAAAAAAAATCCGTAGTGACAGTTGTCGATCATGCATAAATATAATTAATTAACTAATTTTTGTCCTAATAACCTGTAGCATTTCGAGGATAAATCGAAAAAATGTGAAAATTAGAGGTCATTTCGTGATTTTTATCTATCGAGGAAACTTTATTGTTTTATGTTTCTGATTAATGTATATGCTTGAATATATCGTGTAGTTACTCATACAATATTTTATTTTTAACTTTAAAGTGGATATACCCCTCTGAAATCAAATCGAAGATTAGGATTTTTTCCTCTGCTCCCTCTTAAATAATAGCCAATCTGAAATTACACCTTCTTTTCGTGCGAATGAATAAATTTGTTATTATTATTATTATTTATTAATGTCGGTTTTCCTTGTCTTGTATTAGATTAAGATTGAGAAATTGCGTCATTGACCTGACAGGGTAACAGGCACCCGATCGCCCGCAGTGGTGATCTTTTGTGGCAAACAAAACGTCACAATTTGAGACTCGTCGACGTATTGGTTGGACGTCAGACGTGGCAAGCTGAAAGACCCGGCATCATCCCCACACCATCAGCTACCATTATATTGACCGTGTGCTCACGTGCCCCATGTGCACACGGATCTTTACTGATAAGATTGGGTACGTGACCCACGTGAGAGCGCACGAGCACCACAGTGGAGCTGAGGGAATTGCCGTGGACGAAAACGGTCAGGAGAATTCATCATAATCGTTAGATTAAGTTATTTTGAAAAAAAAATTATCTTATCTTCTCTTACCATATAAACATATTATTAGTATAGACTTCAAACTTAGTACTTATATTCTACCAGGAACTTCGTAATATTTGTTAAATGCCGCAATGTTGGGCGCTGATTCCTCTCTGGAATGGTCTTCAGGAGGCTGTTGAGGCTGACACTGACAACTTTGTCCAGTTTTACGTACTAGGTACAGCCATGAAACTGTCTACGTCGAATATAGATACACTGCAGAAACGTGACAACCCGGACTAAACGCCCTGAAGTATGACCTGTGTAGTATAGATAACTGTTACCTGTGATGCGTATTGCTTGGTTAGTAATTAAGTTTACATTTCAATTGTATTATTTTGTCACTTATACTATGCTTATACTCTAGAGATCGAACAATAAACAAATCTCTTTAAACCAACGCATTTTACTTTATCACCTACGGCCACCTTAATAATATGAGACCTGACCCGAAGTACGAGTGAATTTGTATCTTAAACCTCAATAAAAAGAAAAAATATTATTAAACGTTTACTATGTAAGCAACGCCACGGCACACAGTTGAGATAAGTCAGAATCGGTGAAATTGTAAGAGCTACAAACAAAATTAATATCTTGTAATATGGTAATTGTAAATAATGTTCCCAACACTTGACTTAGTCGACATGTGCAATGGTCACACTTTCGCGAATTATAGCTTCATGTTGGCCATGTGGAGGAGTACCTTTAGTCTTAGTAGAATATCTTTAGTCTGCACATTAGTTCTGGGATCTGCTAGCCACGCCAGCAGCGTCTGGCATTTGTCCCTGATGCAGGCCCGTCCGTCCCGCAATCCGTGTCGGCACATGCTTTCCAGGTCGTTCCTCGCCACGGCCTCTTCCCGCCTCACCTCGTCATCATGCTTCATAGATTCAGCCATCCGCACCAATCGTATGATCTCCGCCTGCGACAGCCGCCCTTTGTTGCTAGTGATCGTTAACTGATTCTTTTTCTGTGTGATGAGTTGCACTGCCGATACGTGAAGGATCCCATCGGCATTTATCGCAAATGTTACATCCACTTTAGCCTGGCCTGCCGGCAATGGTGGAACACCAGTCATCATAAACTCGCCGAGTAGATTATTATCAGCTGTCATTGTTCTCTCTCCTTCATATACCATGATCGGGATATCGGTTTGATTATCGACAGCGGTACGATACCTCTCGGTGTGTTTAGTGGGGATGGCCGTGTTACGTTTGATAATTACATTCATAATATCTCCAAACACTTTGATGCCGAGAGAAAGAGGGACCACATCGACGAGGACCACGTCAGAGATGATTTCGGAAGGATCGTCGTTCAGGATAGCGGCTTGAATGGCTGCGCCGTGAGCGACGGCTTCGTCCGGGTTTACGGTCTTGCTTGGTTCTTTTCCGAAAAACTCCCGCACCATCTGCTGGATATATGGGATTCGCGTTGACCCTCCAATTAGCACTACATCTGCTATATCGTCTTTAGGAATCTCTGCTTCTAACATCACTTGTTGCATGATGTCCAGAGTCTTTTGGAATAGGTCCTGGTTGAGCCGTTCGAAGCGTGTGCGAGTGATAACCGCTTGCAGATCCTTGCCGCCGTGCAGTGCGACCAGCTCCACACTGGTCTGCATCGCTGACGAAAGCGTGCATTTTGCGCGCTCACACGCCGTTCTCAATCTTCTTAGAGCCTTGTTGTCCCCGCGCAGATCCAGCCCGTGCTTTCTTGCGAACTCATAGGCGAAGTACTTCACCAGGCGCGAGTCGAAATCTTCACCGCCAAGATGCGTGTGCCCAGCCGTAGCACGGACCTCAAACACGCCTTCTTCGATGGTTAGCGCCGAGACGTCGAAAGTTCCACCTCCCAAATCGAAAATTATCACATTTCGCTCTTCTTCTGTATTGCCGAGACCGTAAGCGAGCGCGCCCGCGGTCGGTTCATTGATGATGCGCAACACGTTGAGGCCTGCGATAGTGGCGGCGTCTTTGGTGGCCTGACGCTGAGAATCGTTGAAATAAGCTGGCACGGTCACCACGGCTTTATGCACTTTCACTCCTAGGTACTCCTCAGCCGAGCTCTTGAGTTTCGACAGTACCATGGCGCTTATTTCTTCAGGGAAGAAGGTCTTGCGTTCGCCTTTGAATTGAACTTGTATCTTAAGTTTGCCATCCTCGTTGACAACTGTGAATGGCAACAGCTTTATGTCTGCCTGCACTATGGGGTCGTCAAAGCGGCGCCCAATCAATCGCTTCACATCTGCAACAAGCGGACATTTGGAATTTAGTTCGTGACATTCTTATGGTTGTGGTAATCTAATGGACATTATTATTGTAACTAGGCATTTGCTTCATTAGGCTATACGGTGCTAGGCACTGGCACTGTATCTTGTTACATTTTCCGTTATACCATGTTCTGATTTTATATTTAAATTTCAATCAGTGTGCTGCCATCTAGTGGTTAATAGCTGAACGACGTCGAATTAAAGATATTTACTTAATTCTTCTAACAAGAAACGACCACATTGAAGCGGTATAAAGTTTACTTTCGTTTCGTGTAACAAAAAAATGTTACGATACACAGAAAATTGACAATTTATTAAATAAAATAAGACTCAAACGATAATATAAAACACCACCATAGATAATATTACAAGTGCGACTATAATTTTTGCACTCCAAAGTAGCAAAATAAGACATTTTTAACTTATACACACATAAGCACTTTTACTGTATTTATTATTCTGTGGTCCGAAATATATCCCATAGAAAATACAATGAAGCAATAATTCATTGATTCAATTCACATACCGAAAACAGTATTTTCCGGATTGAGCACTGCTTGGCTTTTGGCGGGGTCACTGATGAGTCGTTCAGTGTCCGTGAAGGCCACGTACGAGGGCGTGATTCGATTGCCTTCGGCGTTAGGTATAATGTCCACCTTTAAAGATATTATGCATTTTGTGAACTGTTTAGCCGGAGGAACAGCAAGAATAATAAGCTCACTATGAAAAATAACCTCGTGTTGGATTTGCCACATTTATGGACACGGAATTGTAAGCAAATCAGAATAAAAAATTCGCTCTTTGTTCTTCGTTTATAAGTGTGATTTTCGTACTTTGTAAGATTGTAAATTCGTTCACCTGAAATTTAACACAACAAGTCAACTTTGGTTTTAATTTTTTTGTGCCCTTTGTAGAATATAAGTATCAACATAGTTTTACATCCAGTGTGTGCGTAGCCAAAGCCAAGAGGCCGAAGAACGCTTCCCAATCTTTTCCCAAAAATACTTTACATGGTCTCATGAGACTTTGACGGGCGCACTGCCAGTGCCCTCAGATCTTAGTGATTTAAAGTCCTGAGTGGTGACAAGTGGCGCAGGATTTGTTCGTCTCGTCACTTGGTATTATAAAAAAAGGTGTTTGTTATTACCTGTCTCATTCATCTTCTTATACGCATACCTCTCGCACAAACTTTTCTTACAAACTCTTATTTGTGTAATACCCTCCCCGTGACCTTCGCGCGCGCCAGAAGAGGAATATAAGATACAAGATACTATATCTTATATTCTCATAAACGAGAAGAGTGGCGGCCGCCCGAAGCCAAAGAAAGTTAAACTTCAGTGCCTCAAGACCCTTTTGGAAATAAAGGTAAGGCGTGCCGCTTTCTTCTGTCTTCCTAATCATATAGTCCACTTAACCACCGTCATACCCTACAGGGGCCTCCGTTTCTAGGGTCTCTGTTACGGACAACGAGCCGTGAACGAAGAGCGCTCCGAACTCCGCACTCCGCACTGAGTGCGTCACCATCTCCCGCAGCCTGCACACCGCATCGAACGGAGTCACCGCCACCTACACCCCGCACACCGCGCTGATCCGCCTGCTCTCTAACATCGGTACTAGTTATGAGACTGTAATTAATATTTAAATAGGACCCGAATGATCAATAAACGTGGCGGCGAGGCACTCTCGTCGCGGCGAGGCACTCTCGATCACTGTCACTCATCCCAGTCGGCTGTGTTTCAGGTACCTGCTCTGCTCGTCCGACCGCTCGCCCGGTCGTGCCCGCCTTTTGTCCGTCCCGCCGCTGCCGCGGCCTACCTGCGCTCACCCGGTCGCACGTGTTCTTTTCAGAACGCCGGCCCGGTGCTCCGCTACTAAGTATTTCTTTACTTATTTTACTTTCCGTACTTGTGTTATCAACATTTACTAATACTATCTCTTCCCTTTCAGCTTACCTAGTCGTGTGTTCTTTCCAGAACGCCGACACTAAGTTTCATATCTTGTTTACTAGTTTCATAGAGTGTTTCGCATCTCGGTTCGCTATCCGGTGGAAACCTAACGGTGCCAACGAAGCCGGAGGCTCTCTCAAGGAGAGACCGCCTGTGTTCCCGCGAGTCCTCCCCTGCCCCACCTTATATTTAACACGCGCGATTTTAGCTAGACGCGACTGCCCCCGAGTTTCTTGCGCCTCTTCTTCTCGGGGGAACGCATTCCGAAGAGGTAGTAATTCTCAGCTAGGCCCCAGTAGAGCCTAGGGGGTTATAATGATAGGACCCGGCCTCGTTGGCCGAGTTTAGTATGGCCCTTCCGGCCGCCGCATTCGACCCGTCGCAACTCTTGCGATGGGTCTTATCCAACGAAAACATACGCGACGCCGCGCTATCCGCTTTTCCCGACTTGGCTGCCTACCAGCACCCCGCCCCCCGCCGCCCGATCGTTATGTCCCCAGCACGCCCCGTGCTACCGTCGCCCGCGTCACCCGACGTCCCTAAGCCCCCCTCCCCCTCCCTTCAGGAGATGGACATTGCTCCTCAGTCCTCTGAGGAATCCGATTTGCCCACTGACTCCGACGACTCCACGGAATACACCCTCGTCAAGGGAAAAAAGGGCAAGCGCTCCCGCGCTGCCAAATCATCAGACTCCCCTGCCCCTAAGGCAATAAAAGCCCAAAAGGCTAACTCCCGCCCGTCCTCCGCGCAGGACAGACCCCTCTCCCCCCGCGTATCCAAGCAGCCACCCGCACCCGCGCCGGTACCAAAACCCACCGAACCAGCCCCCCCGCTAATAGTAATCCGCTCAAAGGCCCGTTGGGGCGAAATTTCAACCCGTTGCAACAGCTTAGGGATAAATTTTTTGAAAGCCAAGGCGTCCGAGCTTGGCATAAACGTCAAGGTCCAATCGTCGTCGGACCACCGCCGACTCACCCGTCTCTTAAACGGCTTGAGTGTAGAATACTACACGTACGCACTCCCCGAAGAACGCGTTCTCCGCGTTGTCATCCGCGGGCTCCCAAAGGAGCTAGATGCAGAGGTCATCGCCGCGGACCTCCGATCACAAAACCTCCCGGTACATGAGGTTCACCGAATGTACAAGAGCCGTTCCCGCGAACCATACGACATGGTACTCGCCGTCCTCCCCCTCACACCCGAAGGTAAGAAGGTCTTCAACCTGACCACCTGTTGCCAACTCACCGGCTTAACCGTTGAGCCTCCTCGCAAACGTGGCATGCCCGGACAATGCCACAATTGTCAACTGTACGGGCACTCGGCCCGTAATTGTCGCTCGCAACCCCGCTGCGTTAAATGCGCACTCCCCCACGCGACCTCAGCCTGCCCTAGGCCTAAAGATAGGTCCCAGTGCACCGAGCCTCCTCGGTGTGTTCTGTGCGGAGAGTCCCACACCGCGAACTATCGCGGCTGTGCTAAGGCCCCCCGCCCTAACCACAAGGTGGCGGCGCGCACTGCGGCCCATCAGCAGACTAGGGCACAACCTCAGCCCCTTATGTCCATCCGCGACTTCCCGGCCATCAGCCCTGCCCTTACAGCCCCACTATCGCCCCAATCACCGTGGGCAATCCCCCGCGCCAACGCCCCTGCGCCCGCCGCTTCGAAGCAGGCTAGCCCCATCGCCTCCGCTGCCCCTAAGGCAAAAGCACAATCGGCGCCTTCTGCGCATCGACCCACCGCGATACCACCCGCGACTCACTCCCTTAAGGACGACCTGGCCCTCGTGAGCCACTTTGTTAGCACCTTCGACGTCTTCGAAGTTAAAAATCTAGCTACACTCCTCCGCGCCACTGACGGAAACGGCACTGCCCGTCTTCAAGCCATGTCGCGCTTCAGCTCGCTCATAGAATCACTGAGCAAATTCTCCGCCTCTTCGTTCTCCCTCTAAATGGACTTATTAACCAGTAGGAGTAGAGTCAAGCCACGATCACTAAAGCTAGGCTTTTTCAACGCGGATGGCTTATCAAGCCAACGCGAGGAAGTTCGAACCTTCCTCACAGACCACCAACTCGATGTCCTGTTAATTCAAGAAACCTTCCTTAAACCCTCCGCTCGAACCCCCATGTTTGCCAACTATTGCGCGGTACGCAACGATAGATTGAACTCGCCCCTCGGCGGTACCATTATATACTACAAACGGTCACTTCACTGCATCCCCCTCGACCCACCCCCTACAACGTACATCGAAGCATCGGCGTGTCGGCTCGGCTTCACCGGCCACACACCGATCACCCTCATTTCGGCCTATCTCTCCCCTGATACTTCCCGTTCACTAATTCGCGAAGACCTCCAAGCCCTCTTGTCCCTAGGAGATTCAGTAATTCTGACTGGCGACCTCAACGCCAAAAATACTGCATGGAATTGTAACACCACCAACCCGCGCGGTAACACCCTCATGACGCTATCCGAATCCATGCACTTCGATATAATTGCACCCCTAGAGCCCACCCACTATCCGCATAACGTAAATTACCGCCCCGACATCCTAGACGTAGCTTTATTTAAAAATATTAACCTCAGATTAGACTCAATCCACGTCGTTCACGAATTAGTTTCCGATCACCGCCCTGTCCTCTTTCACCTCTCCCCTCGTTCGGACATAGCCCCCCCTGACCCTTGCGCCCCCGTTAAATCGGTGTTGGACTGGGGGAAGTTGAGTCATGACCTCAATTTCCTCGAGTCTGAACACCTAGTTCAGATTCCGGACGAGATCTCTTCAGTCGTAGACGCCAACTGTGCTATTGACCGGCTAGAGGGACACATTCAAACCGCCGTTTGTAACAGCTCCCGGCCGGCACCGGCGACGGACGACCGTCGCTGGAACCTACCGGAGGATGTGCGTGCCCTTCTAACGGAAAAGAACGCAGCCACTCGTGCTTACGACTCTTACCCCACCGACGAAAACCGTCGTTTCCTGCGGGCTTTACAGAGGGACGTAAAGACGCGTATGGACGAGGTACGTCAAAGTCGATGGGAAAAGCTCCTAGAAGGGCTCGAGCCCACCCACCAAGCCTTCTGGCAACTAACCCGTTCTCTCAAGTCCGGCACAGTTGCCCAAACGCCCCCCCTTAACCGACCCAACCGCACCCCAGCATTTGACGACGAGGAAAAGGCCGAATGCCTGGCCGACAGCCTCGAAGCCCAGTGTTCCCCCAGCCTAGAGCCGGTCGACCCGACCCACCTCCTCCAGGTGGACTCCGAGGTCGAACTCAGAGCAACCCTCCCGCCCTCCGACACTCCACTCCCCCCGGTCACCCCAAAGGAAGTAGAATCGCTCATAAAGGACCTTAAGCCCCGCAAAGCCCCAGGCCCTGACGGTATCTCCAACAAGGTGCTTAAACAGCTCTCTGCACCCCTCATCTGTCTCCTGACTGCAATTTTTAACGCCGCTCTGACTAACTGCATCTTTCCGCAAAAGTGGAAAGAGGCGGTGGTCATCGGTATTCACAAGCCCGGGAAACCTCCATCTGAGCCCTCCAGTTACCGTCCCATCTCCCTGCTTAACACCATGGGCAAACTCTATGAGCGCATCCTATACGCCCGCCTCAGAGACTACGTCATGTCTCACAATCTCCTCCCCGACGAACAGTTCGGTTTCAGAGCTAGGCACTCATGCGTCCAGCAAGTGCACCGGATAGTGGAACACATCTCCG